GTTCAGATCCTGGATTGAGGCATTTGGATGTCTAGTCCCACTGAGAATCTGTGATATTGTGAAGCAGTACTGTCTGCGAATGTCATAATATATATATATATATATATATATATATATATATATATATATATATATATATATAATTGGTTGTATATCATGCTAGACGCAATCGTCAAGACACGATTGCGTCTAGCATCAAAAACAGTGTGTCGCCTCTAAGTGTTAACTTTTATGTTCACTTTTATTTTACACACGCTATATTTCTGATATTGAGCATTTTATCTCATAAATATAGCACACCTTAAGAGTATATTTCTTTTTATATATATATATATATATATATATATATATATATATATATATATATATATATATATGGGGGAATGTATTTGAATGGGCAGTTTTACATCAGAAAACGTTTGGCTAAAGACGAACAAATGTTCTTTGTTCAAGATTTTTATTTGTATCTCTGTGTTTCGGGACATTTTCTTATTATTATTTAAATTAATATGTGGTATTATCCACAATCTATAAATCTAATTCAACTAATTTACATTCATTTTAACGGGTTTAAGTTTAAATATCTCCCCCACATCGTTTATTAATAATATTCGACACCAGTAGTACAAAAACTATTTGATGTGAATCACAAAAAAATACACTTTGGGCTCGTATAAGAAACGACACATAATAGGAACAGATATTAAAATACAAACAACGAAAGATCCTGGCCATAAATAAACTCCAACCGTAGAACGCTTCACACGGGATAACTTACGTCCCCACCATTCGCTAACACAAACCCATTCTCATTAACAAGGCGTCTACCAGAGGAGGACTGACATTGAAAATAAATTTAAAACAATGCTCCGAGACAGACATTTAGAGGCTGATGATAGCCGCGTACAGAACGGTTTGAAATAGATTATACCATGTTGGAGTAATTTTTTTTCTGTAAAAATACATATGCTCTGTTATAATAAATACTTCCAGCACTCTATGGATCAGTTTTAATAATCAATATTACTACGATCCACCCGAAATATATACCAACGGATAATTAACTGTACATTATCAAATCAACAGTTTAATGTCATTCTTGAGGCACCATTGACCAAACAGTACTCGGGCAGTCGAAAGAGGGTTAAAAGTGATGACTGAAGCTTGCACTGAAGTGACGGGATACAAGATAATATATATATATATATATATATATATATATATATATATATATATATATATATATATATATATATGTATGTCAACTGGTCTATAATAAGGAGCAAGTCTCTGAATTCGGCCCTTCAAAAAGTGTGGATGGTCCTGCACGAGGCCTTCACCACTATAATCAAATCTCATATGCCGTTCTCGGGCTGTCGGTTTTCTCGCAACTGCTCTGCTTGACCCTCATACGTCGAATATCGACGGGAGAGTCGACGATACTACATCTAAATTTTAATTATATATATATATATATTACATTTAAAATTTAATGACATGTACACTAATAATTTAATTTCCATAAATAATTTTATCAACCTATATTTCTTGTGATTAGAATTTAGATTTCCGGCAATGAAAATCGGGTTCAAATCTCACTATGGCTGTTTTGTTAAGTTTACATGATAAAAATATCGACCGTGCGAAATAATCGCAGCTTGTGGCATCATTGAGAGGAACATGAAAACGATATCACGGATTGATCGAAGCCTTGCGGGTAAAAATGATTAGACAGAAGTTGTTTAGAAACCGTCGACAGGTTTGCTAGCACGATGTTGTAAATTATCGTGACTAAATGTTTGCGCCTACTGGCTTTATTCAAACTGTTCATCACGTCAGATTATGAGTGTAACTAAGGTCTGTCCAGCATAGTTGCAGTATAAATCATTTAGAAACCTCCATAATTTAATTAAACTTTTCTGGTAACCTGATGAATATATATGAGCGTCTCTGAAAGTAAAATAAAAATTGAAAAATTAACATTTTTAATTTTGTTTATAAATCGATCCTGAACAGACATCATGGCCGCAGTCGTTTTCTCACCGAAGTGACGTGGCTTCTCTCTGTCTTTACTACAAATATTTTCATGGCAAATGCTCTGATACGCCTGGAGCCCCGACTACATGAATTTGAGCGTGCTACTAGGTTGGCAACTAGGTCCCACCTTTTTAATGCGGAACTAGCTAGATGCAACTACCACTTCTACTCCAACATTTTTTCTTGCACTTCCCGACAAAAAACGAAATCGTTTTTTACCTTGAAAATGTCCACATTGGACAAAACGCGTCGGCTACTATTAGAGTTTTCCTATTGTCTTTTACATTTATAAATATATATATATATATATATATATATATATATATATATATATATGTGTGTGTGTGTGTGTGTGTGTGTATATATATATATATATATATATATATATATATATATATATATATATAAACCTAGTGAGCCAGACAAACCTACCCAGGTTTCACCTAAGCGGATCATCAGGAAA